CCAAAAACAGTCGCTTTGAAAATCTACGTTAACTCGTCATTGTTTTCTTCTATTTCTAACACTTAAACTCCATTGGCCAAGTCTTTTTTCTATTTCAAAGTCGCAATTGAAAAATGCATGATTTGTCAAAATAATTTTGAAGATATTACTCACAAAGCTTGTGATTTTTTTCGCGAAACAACATACAAAAGTACAACAATGAGTTAAACAATTTGTGTTTTTTCATCCTCCTTTTCTCTTCGAAAAAATAAATCAACAAGGTGGAATTTGTGTGATAAATTTTCACAGTGAATAGAAAACATCGCAATACCATTAAAACATTATCATTCTGCGAGTTCACTTAATGCAAAAATACTTACAAACAAAGCGACAACGCACTTTTTTTATTGATTGTCAAAAATACAATATTTTTAATCAGTTTCTTATTATTAGTTTGATTTTTAGTTTGAAAACTAATAGATACCATTTAAATTATTTAACAAATAAAAAACTTGATTAAAGTAAGTGTTATAAATACTCAACAGCACTATTGAATGCTCTCCACATATGGGTGGAAAACAAGTATGTTACTGAAGTTTACACAGTTTTAAAAGTTAATATATTTATAGTAAATAATATTACCACAAATTGTAATGTAATTGATATTGATTATGATGTAACAAATAAGTTATTTAAGTTGTGTTAATATATTAGTTTAATGATTTCGAAAAATAAAACAGATGTAGTGCATCAACGACAAATTATTTCAATATAAAACTTGCTTTTTATTGTATTTTTATGCACTTGGTAAATAATTGATTATTTTTATAATTTAATGATATAGTTTGTTTTACTATATTTAAAATATTATAAAATAAGAAGTCATATCCCCAAAAAAATAAATGTGTATTTAAAATAAACTTTAACAGGAAGTGTTTTTTGAATGTTAAACATTCAAATGTTTTAAACAATTTTTTTATTATTTTATGATATAAAAATCAAATAATTTTTATTTATTTTCCGAATAACCAAATAATCCCTCCAATACACAAAAACAATATGTAAAACAACACAACTAAAATTGGTACAAGTAATGGTATCCAATTAAACCAACTTGTATAGAACTACATTTGAAAACAAAACAGAGCAAAAGCTCCAAGGAAGAAAAACAAAGAAATTAATGCTTCCATTTCTTCATCAAAACTATAACATAGCACTGCTGCTATTTTTGTTTTTGTGTAATAGTACACAACTCCATATAATGAAAAAATATATCCATTGTATACAAAAAATAAGTATTTAGCTAAGAAATAAAATGCATTTGAAAGTGAAAATGAATATATGCCAATAACATACAAATTATTTACAAAATGTTGATTGTTGTAAAACACGACAAATAACCATATGACATAAAGACAAACAAAAGAATATACAAATGCAATTTCCAAATAATCTTTAACATTTTTAACAATAGTATATATTCCCATAAATACAAATACGAGCAAACATCCTAACAACGCAAATTCAGTTGTATAAACGCTTTCTACTTTGGAAGATAGTATCGCAGATGTTAAGTTTTGTGTGTACCACAAATATACAAATTTGGATATTGTAAACAATGGGAACAACAGCAACAACAAAAAACTCACATTTTTTATTTTAAAATTTTTAAAAGACAATTTGTTAAACAAACAGAGTGGAAGTTTTGCTGAGTTGGTTTTTGTAATTTTAGTTAATTTTGGAAGATGTTTAATGTTAACAATATTGGTGTTATCACTATGTAGTGTTATTTCCTCTACTGTTTGTGGCAGAACAACACGTGTTGCATAAATATGTGCATTTATTACAGTTGTAAAATGTGAATAGTCGCCATTAGTAATAAAATTGACGGGACTTTTAAAATATAAATGATCAAAATCTTTTTGTGAATGTTCAAAATCGAAATAATTGTTTGAAAATTTATTAGAAAATATGAAGTTGCAATACGTCCATTTAACATTGAGTGAATAATTCATAGGTAACAACGCAACTAATTTTCGTAAATCAGAGTCGTCTACATAAAAATGTTTAAT